GGTGTGTGACAGTTGCACTTGACATTCTCCAAACCCCTTCAATGCTGCAGCTTTGCAAAGAAAAGGGGGGCAGCAAGTTGCTCATAAACCACAGCTTCATTTCACACCGGAAACCTGTTGGTTCCCCCCGCCCCCCCTCCCCGTTTAAAAAAGAAATTTGTGATTTGCAACTGAGTTTTTAAACCTTCATTAGAAGTTTCCATTCCTCCTTACAAAAGGGATCCTTCAAAGGTTAACAAGAAGAATCGGCAGTGCTGAAGCAAACACAATCTGGTGTCACACCCTGGGTTACCATCACTGATCACTTGCAGGGATCAAGCAGCACCTGCCCGTCATCAGCAACGTTGCATCATTGCTTAGCAATGGGAAATCCTTCTGAAGCACTGCGAGGAGATGCCATGGGCAACAGAAACAATGGGCCTGATAGAGCACGGTCATTTTGATGCTACTTTTGTGTCTACGAATAATCACAGCATAACTCCCATGTCCTGAGATGTGCTGCCAGTCATGCAATACGGTGAGACATCCATGCAATGTCTGATATTACTGATACTAAGAAGCTAAAGAGTTTCTTACCACTACACGGAAGTCACTGATCCTCCCACAAAATGACCTCGAAATCAATCATATCTGAAACTCAGCACCTCTTCCAGTTCTGATGCCCCAAGCTCCTTCTCACTTCCCATGCCTTCTCTTAAACAGATGTAAGCAAGCACAGAGAAAATTAATCCTAAAATCACCTCCTGCCAAGCCTCATTCCAAAAATGCGGATCCTTTTCAGTCTGTCTCTTCCCTGGGTGGTTTTGTCTCTTCTCTCTTTGCTCCTATCTCCTTCTGTTTAATTGTTTGACATGAATTAAATACAGAACTAGGCTTGCCTTAGTATATAAAGATAAACCTCAGTCATAAGGAACTTAGGCTGGAGTTCACCAGCAATTGAGCCCTGCAACCTTAGCTACGAGTGAAATGAAACTTATTGGTAGGTTTGGGAGAAAAAAGAAATTACCTTCTACTGTCTAACCAACCTGTCTGGTCTCCTGGCACCTTTTATACAATGCTCTGCGGAAGTAACTGGTTGTCTGAATTTTTTCTTCCTTAGTCATATCATCACTGTGGCACTACAATAAAAATTACTAATAAAACATGTTATTAATGCTAGTGTTTCACTGGTTTGACTTAGGTTCTCAGTCTAACAATGAAAAGTCTACTGCAAAATGTCATCTAGAGGACAAACTGCCAAACCAGAGTACACTAAAGTCAAGGGGATTTCTTAACTGATCTCATTAACCACCTACCCCTCCCAGTTTTGGAGTAGGTCACCAGTGTAAAACATACATATACTGATCTAAATTATTTATAGAAGTGTCAATTTTAAATTAGAGCTTTTCCTGGAGGTCCTGGAGCTTATCGTAACCAAATAATTGCCATTGCAACTGTTTTAGTTGTTTTACTATGCAAAATAGAACCAGCTTTGTGCTACGTGATGCCTAAACACAGAAGCCAGAAAAAGATGATCCCTGCTCCAGCTAATGTAATATTTAGGAGACATGAGGGCACACGGAAGGGGTGGTTTCATCTGATCGCACGCAGACATGTCCATCGGAGCTATGGAGCTACGCTTCCCTGCTGCCCTCTCCGGCCAATGAAGGGCATCCACGCTGAAAAGCGAAGCAGGACAGCCCACTTACAGCTATATCTCTCCCCTGACAATAAGCTTTTGTCTTGCCTTAAAAGGATATATTCATTAGCAGTTTATTGCAGGCAGCAGAAAGGAATAGCTCCCCCTGACGCCACATCCTGTGACTCCCCAAAGTCACCCTTGTCCAGAGCAAGGGACAAGCGTCAGAAGAGACAGGGGCTGGTGGTGTCTTTCTTGTAGTGGTGAGTCACAAAGCGCTTCAGCAAACAAAAGTACAGAGAGGAAAAGGAGACCTCTGGATGGTGACACGGAGCCTGGGGTCTGAATGTGACACGTGAAATGGTGGCCTTGCATGGAAACCAGCTCAAGCTGTGAGCTACGAGGACCAAGATCAAGGACACCTCTACATCCAGCAGATGAACCTCTGGGCTTCAGTTTGGCACCCAGAACTCATTCAGAATAAAATTTACTGTTAATCAGAGACAAGAATGAAGTAAGATGTCCCTACTAAGAAAGGCAATAGCCCCTCCTGGATGATCCTTTAATCATATAGGTTCTCCCAGCACATCCATCAGCACATCTATGAGGACATGTACTGCATGCTGTAGGGAAGCATCCACACTCTACGATAGGCTGAGAACCCTGTTCTGACAAACATTTGATCCATTCTCATTTCCCAGCATGTTCACTTCATTTTGAACCATACTGAAAAATGGGAATCAGGAATTTTCCTACTTTGGTCTCGAGAGCGTTGTGCTTTTTAAAATGCCTTTGAAATTTCATTTCCTGACACTGAGTTGTGATAGTGATGGAAGTGGGGGGACACTCACACAACAATCCTGATGGATGGCAGGAACCAGCTCACTACAGCATCTCAGAAAACATGAGACTCAACTCTAGTCTTCTACAAGGCAGGCCCATGGTTTCAGTTCCTTGCCTACATTCCTCCATCAGCCTGTGAAAAGAAGTGCTTCTGAAGAGCAGCTTATCCCATTATAAAGGGAGGATGAATTCTACTTAGGATAAGGAGAATAAACTGCCCATTGAAACCAGAAGGAGCCTACATAAGTAACATCACTTACGTATCTCATCTGGAGACGCCTGGAGAACCTTGGAAGCACCTCAAGCCTGATGGTCACATTTGCTTGATGGGATTTTGAGATCCAGATCCTTGTAACGTTGTTTAATTGACAAAACCTAGTTTCTCTTTCTTCTGCCAAAATCTGCTCTATTTCAGGCAGATGTGACAAGTTTCACAGTCTCATGAAAGTATGAATTTCAAACATCTCAGCAGGCCTAAGAGCAGCTTTCCTCACTCACCAACATACTTTGATGTTTAATGAAATAAACCCAGTTCCTAAATCATTTTCCATAACTCATCTCTAAGTAGCAGCCACAATAGCAATGGCATCAAAGTCAGCAGCACCTGGTTTCTGGCATTCCCGGGAAAAGGAGGCTTTCTTTGCAGAGGAGTAATAGAAAAACACCTTGCACAGAAAAATTATCAACAGGAAATCTAGGAAGTGCCAAGCAAAGAAATAAATAATACACCAGCCTACCATCTCACAGTCTGGTGAAACTGTTGCTGTTGTATGTGCAAAGCTCCAGGAAGCATCACCTATACCCACGTGGAAGTGGTCACCTGGAGGCAACAGCAAGGGGCCTCTCTGCTGAAGCATGAAAAAGTTTTTTTGGCAGGGCAGAAACCCCTGTGGTTACAGAAGAAAACCACAGATGTTAAAAAAAAATTAAAAAATGCATACCCCTGGGGCACAGAGCTTTCTTAGTGGCTTTCAGATCACAGACCACCTGCCTTGCACAAAGCAGCTTTTGCAGAGCAATTGCAAAGAAGAATTGCAAAGAGAACAATTGAACACCTGAAGAACTCAGCTGCATGTCAGCAACACATGTGCTTGGAGATAAATAGTACATATGGATATATGCTATGAAACACCCATGTCTTGCTTGCTAGGCAATAAAATACAGCATGCTCTATCATCTGCATGAGACCCGTTGAATGTGCACAAGCGAATGCAGTGGAATTCCTGCCAAGAAATGCAACCTGGGGCCTGCGGCCAAAGCACGGGGCTGGTCTGTGACCTCTGCAGAGCTGGAGCTGCTGTGAACCCCCAGACAGCTGGGAGACAGCAGGCTGCGGGGCTAATCCTACCTCAAGCACGAGCATCATCAGTCTGAATCTCTAGGGAAGTCATCGAGGGAAAATCCTTGAGGTGCCGTTAAGAATTAATAACAATAAATGAGCCAAAATTCTGGAAAAGAACTGAATTTCTTCAGAAATAATTTCTTTCCCCTCCCCTTCATTTTGCTGCAGATGTCGAACATCATCTCTTTACCCAAGAGGGTCCTGATGACATCACATCCGTTCCAAAGAGCGACACAGCCTCCTAAGTCAAGTGAGAAAGATCACCTCTGTTTGGTTGCACCGTCCCCAAGATGGCCAGGTCTCCTGCACTGCTCCTGCTGCTCATTCTGGGATTCTGTGAGTATGGACACCGGGCTGTGCATCGCCTTCACCAGGATGGGCAAGTAAACCCCCTCCATGGACTCCAAGGAATTGGGCTAAATAGTTAAAGGGAAAATAAAAAGCAAACCAAAAAGGCTGACTTTGAGGTTTGCTCCATAATTGTGAAGGTAAAGGAGGCATCACCTCAGCCAGCGTAGGGAAGCCAGAGGGGTGGCTGCTGCGTCGTACACACCGGGATGGGAGCCCAGTCAGAGAAGTGGTTCTGGAGGGGAGAGGGAAGCGGGGAAAAAAAGGGGATTTAGCAGTCAGTGTTTTTAAGGAGTCACTTCAGAGAAGCTGGGAAGGGGTACCATCCCTGAGAAGGCAGCTGAAAGGCTTTTCTGGAGGGCAGCACCCATCCTTAAAGCCCGGGTGGCTGATGGCTGAGCACCCTCCACACACTATCCAAGCAAGGACTGGAATAAAACCTCCAAGTCATTCAGAGAGCACGGTCATCCTTTGCATTTGACCTTGCACCGCATAGACAGGGAATGAGGTTTGCCCGGAGGGGACGTGACTCTTCCCAAGCAGTTCCCACGAGGATTTCTCTCCCGCAGGCTGCCCTGGGATCCAGGGCCAGAAGTACGATATGAAGGTTGGGTTTCGTGACAAAGGCATCAAGCACCCCCAGATGGGACAGCGGCTGGAGCTGGAGTGTACGTCTGCCAAGGAGGACAGTGGCGTTATGTGGCTCCACCTGGACAAGCATGGGACCCTTCACTTCATCGTCTTCATTTCCTCCCTGCCCCGGACCGTCTTCAGTGGGAACAAGGAGACATCCACGCACTTCGAGGCATCAAAACACGGCAACTCCTACCGGCTGGTAGTGAAGTCTTTTACACCGCGGGACGAGGGGAAATACTTCTGCCTCATGAACAGTAACCAAATGCTGTACTTCAGCCCTGGCCAGCCTGTCTTCTTCCCAGGTCAGCAACACCTCCACTCAACCTTACTTAGCTCTGCCAAAATGCCCAGCACCCCCTGCCCATGCCTTTTTTAATTAGTCACCTCTCCCACAAACCCTGTTTCCCTGCTTGCTTGCCCAAGGCATCTTGTGACCAATGCACCCGTCCTCCAATGCACCCGTCCCTGCTTGCCAATTCTTCTCGTGGTGTCACCCCTGCCTAAAGGCAAAGGTAAATGGGCATCACCTCCTCACCCCCACTTCTCTATCCCATTCATGGCTCTGAAGGGATGAGACTACAGTGAAGTCCACCACGTCCACCACCACCCCCTCCATCCTCACCTCACATAGGTCCCAAAAGTCTTACCAACCTCAGAATACTCAGGCTTTCTGATGGTGGTGGCAGAATGCAAGAAATAAGGAGCCTGCAGCTCCTTATTGGGTCTTGGGAAGACCCTCCTCAGGGGACACACTCTCCAAAATGGGCTCTATGAAGTCCCCCCCAGACCTGAGCCCTACAGTGGGCACAGAAGCAGCCGTGCCCTGGCAGGGGTGGGAGAGCAGAAGGGCAGGAGAGCACTATTTTATTTCCCTATATGCTGTATTTATCCATTTTCACTTACAGTCACCACCACAGTGGCATCCAGCACACCAGCACACACCACCCAGCATGGCATCACCCAAAAGGACCCCTGTCTGAAGACCCGGGATACAGGTAGCCCAGCTGCAGGGACGGAGAGGGGAAGAGCTGGGCTCTGGCCCACAGCTACCAGGGGGACGGTGCAGGCATTTCGGGATGGGGGAGAAGGAAAAATCCTTAGAGCTTTATCAGAGCTGGATACTTGGGTACATGCAGCGGGGAGGGTTAAACCCCAACGTTCCATCCCACTTGAGAGAGGCTAAGGACGATTTAAAAAGCACGAGCACATCTCCTGGTTGGGCACAGCGGGAAGAGGTGGAGGGAGGGTAGAGCCTTGGGGGCTGGGGCTGGTTTTAGCCTTGTCAGGGGACACGAGAAAACTTTTGGCTACGTGTCCCTCGTCAAGTCCCCAGGAAAACAGCCAGAGCGGCAGCACTAACAAAGGCCCACGCTGCACTTGTGGACATCTCTGGTGAGCCAGGAGAAGCCAAGCAGGTCCCTCGGGTCCACCAGAGCTGGCTGTAACACCAGCCGTGAGCGCCTTTCCTCTTTATTCCTGCAGAGACCAACAAGGAGGAAAAGCTGAATTTCTTCTGTGATATCATCATCTGGGTTCCCTTGGCAGGCGCCTGCTTCCTGCTCCTGCTCGCCTTGGCAGTCACCATCATCGTGTGTCAACGTAAGACTCACCCATAACCCCCCCATAGATATTCCTCTAACCCGAAACTGCAGCCCTGTCCTGCAGGGGAAGGGATTTTCTAGCTACCCCCTTTACGTAGCTATCAGATAACCAGGACACCACCAACTCAAGAGAAGGACCACTGTTTAAAAAAAAAAAAAATAAATCCGTGTCCATATTCTCCTCATCAGTAGGCTTAGCCTGAGAAATAATTATCAATTTCTACACTACAAGGAAGAAAACCAGGTTATAAATAGAGAAAATTTACTCTATCCAACTGTATTGGCTTTACTGTCCTTAAATTGGTGTATCAGGGATAAAAGAACCAGACTCTGAACCACTGTGACAAAATAGGGTAAAACATGCTCCAGCACCGGGCTTGCAAATTCAAATGCTGAGAGTCCCATTAGCAGCTTGAGCTGTAAGCAAACGAGCAGCTTAATTACACAGGTTCAGAGACTGCTACGGTTAAAACAGTAATGCAAAATCTCTGGGTAGGCAAAAGTATTTTGGTGAAATTTCATGTTTGAAATGCCTTTAAACTACCCTGAGCAAGCAGTTAGTGCAAATGTATTTAAATCAATTAAATGCTCGCTGAAATCAGTTGAACTTTCCTTTGGGGAGTGCCCCGATAGCCCCAGAAGTTACACTGCTTTCATTCATCTGGCTCAGCTCATTTCCCTGGAACACCAAAGTATTTTGCCGCTGAATTAACCCAACTAAATCCTCACTGACCTCACAGCCTGAGATGAATTTACCAACTGATCCAGTTGAAAAAAAAAGTACAATTTTTCCACATCCTTCAGCCCCAAAAAATACTAATCACCACGGTCTGCAGGGATAGGAAGAAATAGGTGAAAAAACACTGATGAGCCACAGCCAAAAATCATTTTTGAGGGAAATAGCTGATGATGCAACAGAGCTCCCGGCCTTGGTCCAAATTCCCTCTGAAGTCACCAGGAGCCAAGAGCCCCTCCGTGTGCACCAGGACGCCCTGGTGACCCGCAACGCCGTTAACCTACAAATGCCACTCAGTGATTTATTTCTGCCTTCTAACACTGATGAGTCACATCAGGGAAAAGCCATTAGCTGGAATTAATTTCTGCAGCAGGCAGCCCCAACCCTCAAGGACAGGTTTTTACCTTGTGCTAAAATTAACGCCTCGACATTGTATTGCACCGAATGCGTAACGACTTAGATGCTAAAATGGGGAAGGAGTATCATTCAGCGTGGTTGCGTGCTGCATGGCATCATCGCCACTCATCTGTTGTGGAAATTAATTGCTGCCGGTGGACTTTCAGCAACATGCCTAAGTTGCTGGAGACAAAAAAACAAAACAAAACAAAACAAACCCACCCAAAACCCAACCCAAAACCTCACTGTCAGTGTTCCCAGGCTGACCCTGCTACTCACATGAAAATTTACTTAATGAAAATACCGAGGTGGACTGCTGGGGAAATGGCTTTCCTCAAAAATAAGCTTGATTTATCCGCTGTTAGTCTTAAGGCAAGCAAGCTGCTAGGGAATGCCAGCCCTTCCTTCCCTCTGCAGCGTTTCTTTACTGAGCTGTGACTTCGTATCTTTGAACTGAAACGTTTTCTTTTTTTGTTTTAGAAACCAGAAGACGAAGGTGCAGATGTAAAAGGTTAGTAAGCGACAGGTGTTTTTTCTCTTAGTGACATTTTTCTCTTAAACTTGGCAGCATCTCACCCTCAAGCGATAAAGCAGGCAGGTGCCAAAAAAGCAACCTAAAAATTCTTCATCTAATATACAGTGGATAGGAGGGGACGGTGTAATGAAATAAGGGCAAGAAAGACATATAAGATTCTCTTCTCCTGTGTTTGTGTTGGTTGTTTGGGTTGTTTTGTTGGTTGGGTTTGTTGTTTTGGGGGTTTTTTGGGGGGCTGGGTGTATTTTTTTTTAATATGAAGTAATTCAAATGACTGAGCACTGACATTGCAATAGATACTGAACAGGAAGACAGAAGGTGGTTGTGGCAGCCTAAAAACTCAGTGCTCGTAACTAACACCACACTTGAGTGCTCCCACTGCACTACTCCAACTCGAGCCCGGGGTGACAGCCTTTCATTCCTTCCCCTCCCCAACCTGTTCCTCCGATGTCATCACTGGACCTTGGGGTTGTGCCCATGGGCTAGATCCAAGTTAGTGCATCCCGAATCCCCTTCTGCACAGTTTCCGATCAACATCACCGTGGCTTTATGCTTCCGTTTCCCAAACAGGAGGTAACTACTAGTAGCAGAGAGGCTGATGCAGCCTTAGATGACCTTCCTGAGGAACAGCAACGCAGATACGCGTGGCTTTAGAGTTAACCCGTTTTCCGAGGCAGACAGGAATCCTTTTTTCTGCTTTCCCCTCCTGCCTCCCCAACCCACCCATCATCCCGAGTCACCAGGAAAACACTATCAGAATAAGAATTGCAATTTGCTGGTTTGGAAGAAGAAACCCTTTTGTTTGCGAGTAACGCGCGTTTTGCTTCTGCAAATCGACCTTCCTGCGGCTGGTTTCGTCACCTCGCCTGCTCTGCAGAAAACCACTTGTGCAGTTTTGCGAGCTTTGTGCTCAGCGTGCAGCCCAGGGCTCGGGGCCAGAGAGGGCTCCGGGAGGGAAATCCCCGCTACTGCTCCGGCCAGGCCAGCGCCAGGCTGGCACTTGGAAAAGCTGGGTTGCAAGAAAGTTTGGAACAGTATTGTCACACCTCTGGAGCCTTATTCTTTGCAAATCAAGCATCTTTTGAATCAGATAAATTAATAATCCTTCTTATATATCCATGGGTTTCATGGTAAAGTTAATAGATTTTTAGTTGCCCAAATTAACACACTCAGAAACGATGACTAGGAAACGCCTCCCTTCCCCTACATTAACAGGAAAAGGATCCCTTTTTTTTTTTTTTTTTAAAAGGCAGAACTCATCAGAAATCATTGCCTGAATAATAAAACAGTGTTTAAAGGAAGAGGCACGGAGTGGCAATGCCTTCTGCCCTTGGGGTGCAATCTTCCTACGTACATATCAGAATACAGCTGCACCCACAGACCTGCATTTTCTTTTACCTGTCTGAAAAAGGGAAGAGCTTGTCATTTTTACGATGGATATTTATTACATCTAGCACTCTTCTGATCCTCCCCTTGCTTTCCAGGGGCTAAATGATAACTAAGAGCTCTTCTTGCAGCCTTGTTTAGGACGATGCTTGCATTCTTCGCTTATCTCAATTCCTGTTGCCAGCCCTGTGCAAAGATGTTCTGTCCCCAAGGGAAAAAACACGCCGCAGAGCTCTTCAGTTTTGCTCCGATTGAGCGATTGGGTTACAAGTGCCTTAGGAAATCATCTCATCAAGGACAGCTCTCCTTCGGCAGCGCTAACATGACAGAATTCTGGTTTAAGCAATTGTAGCATATTTAAGCTTTTATTTAGAGAGGAAATTCCT